GTGAAATGAAAAACAGAACAAGGAGTAAGCAACAATGCATCGAATGACGTCCATGAAATAAAGAGAAAGAAATAAAGAATTCCTAAAGAAAGTCCAACAAGACAAAATTGAAATGTTGCAGGCTTGGTTTGGTTGAGCATGTTCATGGAAGTTAATGGAAGGTGCAAGTTACCGTCCACGCCCCTAGCACCGGCGTAAGCAGAATTCAACATTTATTCATGGTAATGGTGAAATTTTGAATTAAGAAAAACCCGCAAATGTGTTCATGAAGCGTGAAACCAAAATGTTTTCAGTGTCATAGTTTTTACTATACACATATAGTTAAAAACAATGACACCCCTGGGACAGGGCCAGTTTTGACCCCAGGGCTTTTATTTGAACAAACTTTGTATACACTTACTAGAAGATGTTTCATGCTTTATATCTAAACTCTAGCTATTTGGGTTTTTTCAAAGAAGATTTTAAGATTTTGCTATAGACATATTAGGAAAATCAATGACCCCCGGGGCGGGGCCAATTTTGACCCCAGGGCTTTATTTGAACAAACTTTGTAGACACTCACTAGAAGATGTTTCATGCTTAATATCTTAACTCTAGCTATTTGGGTTTTCTCAAAGAAGATTTTAAGTTTTTGCTATATACATATAAGGAAAATCAATGACCCCCGGGGTGGGGCCAATTTTGACCCCAGGGCTTTTATTTGAACAAACTTGGTAGACACCTATTAGAACATATTTGATGCTAAATATCTTAGCTCTAGCTCTTTGAGTTCTTTAAAAGAAGATTTTTTAAAATTTTACGATATGCATATAGGGAAAATCAATGACCCCCTGGGGCGGGGCCAATTTTGACCCCAGGGCTTTTATTCAAACAAACTTGGTAGACACCCATAAGAAGATGTTTCATGCTAAACATCTAAGCTCTAGCTCATTGGGCTTTTTAAAAGAAGATTTTTTAATTTTTTACTAAACACATATAGTTAAAAACAATGACACCCCTGGGGCGGGGCCAGTTTTGACCCCAGGGCTTTTATTTGAACAAACTTTGTAGACACTTACTAGAAGATATTTCATGCTTAATATCTCAACTCTAGCTATTTGGGTTTTTTTCAAAGAAGATTTTTTAACTTTTTGCTATACACATATAAGGAAAATCAATGACCCCCGGGGCGGGGCAAGTTTTGACCCCAGGGCTTTTATTTGAACAAACTTTGTAGACAATCACTAAAAGATGTTTCATGCTTAATATCTAAACTCTAGCTATTTGGGTTTTTTTCAAAGAAGATTTTTTTACTTTTTGCTATAGACATAGAAGGAAAATCAATGACCCCCGGAGCGGGGCCAATTTTGACCCCAGGGCTTTTATTTGAACAAACTTGGTAGACACCTATTAGAACATGTTTGGTGCTAAATATTTTAGCTCTAGCTCTTTGAGTTCTTTAAAAGAAGATTTTTTAAAGTTTTTACTATATGCATATAGGGAAAACCAATGACCCCCTGTGGCGGGGCCAATTTTGACCCCAGGGCTTTTATTTGAACAAACTTGGTAGACACTCATTAGAACATGTTTCATGCTAAATATCTTAGATCTATCTCTTTGGGTTCTTTAAAAGAATATTTTTTTAAAGTTTTACTATATATATATAGGAAAAATCAATGACCCCTGGGGCGGAGCCAATTTTGACCCCAGTGCTTTCATTTGAACAAACTTGGTAGACACTCACTAGAAGATGTTTCATGCCAAATTTCTAAGCTCTAGCTCTTAGGGTTTTTTGAAAGAAGATATTTAAAGTTTTTTCTTTCGGTTGCCATGGCAACCAGAGTTGTGCATGGAATAAAATTCTTTTAACAATTTTTAAAGGTGACCACCAAAGGAACATTCCTGTGAAGTTTGGATGAAATTGGCCAAGTAGTTTATGAGGAGATGTCATTTAAAGTAAAAGTTTACGGACGACGGACGGACGGACGACGGACGGACGCCGAACGAAAAGCGATCACAAAATCACACCCTGTCACTTTGTGACAGGTGAGCTAAAATTATGCAAACATCAAGCGACCAGCGTACCCCATTCCGCGCAGAAAGGCCATAGTTGGCCCCATCCGCTCTAACTGGTGGTTTTAAAGTACTCCCTTCACTTGACGGGCTAACAAAATGATCTTAATTAGTGATTAATATGATTAACGTAAACGTGATAGACCGATCTAAACATAATATGATTTGTGTAAAGTTACAAAGAAATATTTAATAATTGAATAGTAATATGTTTTTATATACCCAGAACCAAAATCGTTTAGGGTGGGGAATAACACCAGCAATTAATATTCAATGTATTGGAAAACACTTTAATAACCATACAAAAATAAAATAAGTTTAAAATACCTATCTTATATAATAGAATTGAATGTTTACATATAAATATGCCGGACAGCTTGCAAAATATCTATACCGTGTAATTCATTCTTTTCCGATTTGCAAATGATGTCACGAATTTCCAGTTACTTTCCCGCGTTCTCCGGCTTCCGCATCTTGATTTCGCTTACTTGCTTGCTCAAGCGGAAAACAAGTGACCTGCTGGCTTATTCATTGCTTTTTGTTAAGTCCATCTTCTCATATGCAGATAAAGGAGTATCGCTAACCTGTTGAAAACACTTCGTGCGTTTTTTCTAGATTTGCAACAGATGTCATTTTCCTTCATATAATGCTATCTCTACTTCTGTTCAGAAGAATTTCAAACAATTTATATTAATATTTAAACATATCATTTTATGTTATGAAACAAGTAGAAAAAAACAGACTTTAAATTATGAATGAAAAATAAATAAAACTTCACAAAAATAAATAATAAATAAAAAAGTGAGTTGATGCGCTGCGATGGGCGCATGTTACCAAGTTTATTCTAAATCACAGGTAAAGCGCGTTTAGTGAAATTATATGATAAATTTATGCTTATATTGTAGAAAACATTAAAAATTGGTTCACATATGAAACAAATTTAGATATAACGGAATATGAAGATTCCAGTATCTTATCTATATTTCCTTTTATATAGTTCTTGTAAACAAAGTATTTATAATGAACTCTTTTCATGGAATGGCACTACTGTGTCACATTGAAGGTTCCATGATAATCGCCGTATGAACACATCTGCGGATATTTCTAAATTCCAAATTTTACCATTTCATGTTTAAATGTTGAATTCTGCTTTAGCCGGTGCAAGCGGGCGTGGACGGTAGCATTGAATGTTTATGTAGATTTCCTAATAAAGTTTTAAAGAGTTGAGTTCAACAAAAACTATGTGTAGCTAAAGGATCAGGGAGCCAGTGTATTTGGTCACGTGACATTTGTAAACGTCACCACTGCAAATTGTCGCGCACATGACATTAAATTTTGCTACAGTAACTATGGAAAGTTATGTAACACTTGAATCGGCAATTACTAGTTCTTGCTTATTTGAATTATATTTATATTATTGATGACAAAAAATGAACGTTTCGCCAATTCACCTTAATCCTGTATCCCATAATCAGTTGCGGTGAGAGGACTTCAAGTTTACGCCAGGTCGAAAGACGAGAACAAAACATATTTTGACAAAGCAAATTCTGCTTAAGCCGGTGCAAGGGGGCGTAGACGGTAACTTGCACTTTCCAGTACCGTCCATGAACAGGCTCAATCAAACCGAGCCTGCAACATTTTCAATTTTGCCGTGTTGGGCTTTCTTTATGGATTCTGTATTTTTCTATTTTATGATCACATCCGTGTTATTTGTGCCGTGTGGCGGCTGTAAAAAGTCGCCCCGTACATTTAATCAATGATGTTATATTTTCGGCCCTTGAAGATCGTTCAGCACGACATTATTGTTGTGCTTGCGTTTTTTTTTTAGTTTCAACTTTTCGGTATTTTCTAGTTGGATGGTTCCAATATTCCTACTTGAATAATGTTGAATCACCCATAGGATATGTTGCCTGCTTTTTAAATTTGTCTTTTGACGTCTTATCTGTGATACGCAGGCTTCATAACCTCTGATCCCTTTTCAAAATTCCATTTTATTTAGTTCCGCCCATTGTTTTCTCGTTTAGGGCACACGTATTTTTTTAATTGGGGACCATATGCCGCTTTTCATGGAATGGCACTACTGTGTCACATTGAAGGTTCCATGATAACCGCCGTATGAACACATCTTCGGATGTTTCTAAATTCAAAATTTACTATTTCATGTTTAAATGTTGAATTCTGCTTAAGCCGGTGCTAGGGGGCGTGGACGGTAACTTGCACTTTTCAGTACCGTCCATGAACAGGCTCAGTCAAACCGAGCCTGCAACATTTTCAATTTTGCCGTGTTGGGCTTTCGTTAGGGATTCTGTATTTTTCTATTTTATCGATAAAGAGGGTGACAGGTATTAAGATAAAGAATTTATTAACAATGTTTATCATAAATATTTATTTCGAACAGAAATGCCGGTGAAGATGATTTAATAGCGAGATAACTTCGATTCTTGTATTTCATACTAGCGGATGTGGGAAAACTGTAGTTATATGCGAGATAACACTCAGGCACAATAACCTTGTTTAATCGTGTTGATATATATTTTTCGATTGGTAAAATATGAAAAACAAGATCAACAAGGAAAGGCGGCGTTCAATGAACGCAACCCCCATATGACCCAGCAACAAGAACCAATGGCAAGGAGCCCAGGCGGACCCCAAACATAAACTATGGTAAAACTATTTACTATTAATAAAATGAATGAAAATAGGACTACCACTACAGGTGATTCATATTCCAAAAAATATGATAAAAAATATCAACAAGGAAAGGCGGCGTTTAATAAATGCAACCCGCCACCTTAACTATTTGAACTTGACCTATATTTTATGATATTTCATCTGTGTTCCAATAATAATTACAATAAATTTCCTTGCGAAAAGAATTTAATCATACATTATTTTGGTAAAATAAAAGGGAGATGACTAGGTAAAAACAAAATTATTCTATTGGAATCATTCTATCTAAGGCCTAGGAACTTCCAACTTTGTATGGTGAAAACTTACGACGATAATCCCTTACGATTTTGGGTCAATGAGTCAAAGATCAAGATCCACATCGACTTTGTAGGTATAAACGGTTTCCGATCAATAACTTGACAACGCATAGGCAGTTTGCCCTCAAACTTCGTAGGTGCATTGGACGTGGCAAGTAAATGACCCATATTTGTTTTGGGGTCCAATATCAAGGTCAAATTGACCTTATAGTTAAAAATGATTTACCGATCATTAACTTGACAAAGCATTAGTTATTGGCAATCAAACTGCATAGTTGCATTGGGCCTTTCGGTAGATGACCCTCTTGATTTTAGGGTCAAGGGGTCAAAGTTCAAGTTCACATTGACCTTGTAGGTAAAAAAGGTTTCTGATCAATTACTTGACAACCCATGATCTGTTGGCCCTCAAACTTCGTAGGTACATTGGTCTTGGCAAGTTGATGATTTTCTATTGATTTTGGGTCACGGGAACAAAGGACAAGGTAATATTGAATATGTAGGTGAACGGTTTCCGATCAAAAACTTATCTCATGAGCCAAGCCATTGGCCCTCAATTGCATAGGTGCATTGGTCTTGGTAAGTACATGACCACTATTGATTTTGGGTTCAAGGGATGAAAGGTCAAGGTGATAATTGAACTTGTAGGTAAAAACGGTTTCCGAACAATAACTTGACAACACATTGGCCCTTGGCCATCAAACTGCTTAGGTGCATTGTCCTTGACCAATAAGTGACCCTTATTGAGTTTGGGATCAAGGGGTCAAGGGTCACATTGATCTTGTAGGTAAAAACGGTTTTTGATCAATTACTAAACAACAGATGGGCAGTTAGTCTTCAAACTTCTTAGGAGCATTGGTCTTTGTCAGTAAATGATCCCTCTTGATTTTTGGGTCAGGGTATCAAAGTTTAAAATTGTTTATGTATTTTATTGTCGGCAAATTTATTTTCCACATTAATTCTTATATGACACAATTTCTCTAAAGAAAATAAAATTTAACCTTTAGAGAAAACCAAAGGCCGCTTAAACATAATGTATGTATGTTTCAAGGTAAAATATCAATTAGAATGTGCATTTCCTATTTAAAGTAAATGATGTAAGGCCTTTAGTAAAATAATAAAAAGGTAAAAGAACATTTTGTTCAGGTTCGTCAAAAATGCCATAATATTGTGAAAGAATTTTAAATCACCTTATAAGTTTCTGTGTTCTCAAACAAATTTGGCACCTCCTCAATTGCCTATTTTCATGTCGGTAGCGGTTATGAGACACTAACATTTAGCAAACCGAGTATCCGCAAGTAAAGTGACAAATATTCACAGGCATAATTACAAAGTATCACAAGCAAAATGAAGAGTGTTTTTCAGGCAAGATCTATTTTCCTAAGAGCAAGATGCAGAGTTTTACAAGGAATAAGTTGAAATTTTCCAGGCATTATTTAAAAATCAAACTTTAGTCAAACTAAGATTGATGTAGCACAATTAAAACTAAAACATAATCAATTTATGAATGAATCAAGCACACGCACCATATTATGTTACTATGTGAAATGTTCATTTGACAAAGTAAAAGGGATGTTAGTAGATACGGGTAATCCTGTGTCAGCGGTGTCATATCACTGACTACCTTTATTTTTTACTGTTAACTGAAGCATACAAATTAATTCTAAACTATTCTCAGTCGGTGATTCTTTGCCTTCAGCAAATGATACTTAGTTGCGAAGAAAGGGAAAGCATACAGAACAGTTCGATTTTGAGCATATTCCTTAAGTTTACATGTTTTTGTGGCTGACATAGAAGAATCAATAGGGATGTATCGTATATAAATGCGAATGGCACTTCGTTAGTTTGAATAGACATAAATGTACAAATTGAGTGAAGACAAAACATTATAAGGTCAAATTACATAGATATAGTGTACGTTGATCTAGAATACAGGTTTCGTAGTCTGTAGTTATCCATGCTAGGTCTGAAATGTTTGTACCAACCCATATTAATGTTAACACTTCACATAGACTTAATATTTCATTGATAAAGCCGCGTTTATATTGCTCATTCTTTAGTACATGTAGATAGTAGATACAAGTGTTCAGCATTGGGCTTTATCAATTATGAATGTATTATCAACACTTTCTTTTTAAATTTAAGATGAACTTCATTGTCAGCAAATTATTCCCGACCACTGAGATTTTTGATAGTTCACTGTAAGACGATTACAACAAAGCAACTGTCTGAGATGACGTTAATATTAGTGTTGATTTACAACTGTCTCGTAGCTTCTCTAGATTGTTCCGGCACAATATCGCTAACAGCCGTATCATTTCTTCTACTCTCTTTCCAATCAAGTATCCGATAGCGTTTCTTCCGTTCGAAAAATTTGCACTGCAAACATAATATTGTAAATGCTAAGATATTGTAAATGCATATACACTTATAAATGAAATATTGAGAAGTATTGATGAAATAAAATGGGTATTTTCATTTTTTTTTCGTATTTTCACAGTAAAAAATTATTTTTCACTGCAGTGAAACATAGTTTTTGTATTTCATTGATGTCTTGCCTGACTACTTTCTTCTTAATTCCGTCAATACACAAAAAAGTTTTGGGGATTTCTTTCAAATTGTTATGTCAAAAAGCGAAAAAGGTATATAAAAAACAGAAAATTCAAGTTTTTTTTATAATAAATGCAGGATTTATTTTCATCGAGTGGTATGAAAATAAATATTTCATGAGTGGCGGTATACCATACCACAAGATATTCTCTAATTATTTACTATTGTTGTCTATTTTATTGCAGTGTTATTATCTAACTGCAGAAAAAAAGCGATAACGTATATCTAGAGATAGATATAAATGAAATTATTATGAATTTGTATCATTCTGTTGAAAAAGTGTCAGAGTTAAATCGTATACATATACATGCACAGTGCGGTAACTGGAGTGCAGGTATCAGTTACCCGCACTCCAGATAATGCCAGTTGATTGGTTCATTTTTGCTGGGGTTTACATATTGTGACGGCAGAGAAAGAGAAAGGGGCAGGAATGTCATATTCAAATGCTCGTTCATTGGTTCATTTTTTTCTGGGGTTTCGTATTTTGACAACAGGGAACGTACTGTCATGTTTGACTATGATACAAAAGAGAAAGAACACCAAAACACTCGGCAATCTGATTTATACTCGGGGGCTACGCCCCCTCGTACAAATCAGATAGCCTCGTGTTTCGGTGCTCTTTCTATTACATATAAAATGTAAGAAATACCTTGTATTGAATTGTAATCAATATTTAATTAAGAAATAATATAGTTTTATTACCGACAGCAATAAATTAGAAACTCACTTTCCACAGTATTATGATCAGTAAAGTCAATAGGACTAAACCTCCGGCTGCACTTAAAATGATTATCCACATATTTACCTTCCCTGGTGCAGAACCATGTTTAAGAAAAAATGTAGCCCATTTCTGAAAAAAAGGAAAAAAATATAAATTTTGAAGAAAACACCGCAAACAAACAACTTTATGTGCTATACATTTAATCCACAGTGAATATGCACATTTATTTATAAGGAAAAAAATATGATAGAAACACTGAACACATTTAACAGGTTTTAAAATGCGTTGCTAAACCCAGACTCCTGAAGCAAAAGTGAGAATAAAGTAAATTTACTAGGTATGATACAACCTGTCTTAAAATTAAATTTAGATTTGAAATGAGAAATGTGCATAGTGGATTTTTGCTGTACATTTGCAATCAATGAAAAGATAGGACACATACTATTTGAAAAGCGGACTATTACAACAATTATCATTTAGCTTGAAAATACATCTTAAGAATATCTTACCCGAGCAAATACTGGTTCAGACCATGCAACAGATTTCATCCCGTACCAAATATTAGGGTCACTGACATTGGCAAAAGTGGTAAATCTTACACCGTATCCGTTCTGCGAATAAGATAAAAAAATAACCCGATAAACACAATTCATAATTATATTAGTTCAAAAGGAAATTCAAGGGAATCTTTTTCTATCCCTGTAAAACATTAAGCCATTTCTTTTTTTTTGTACATGTAGAAATATAAACTTTAGAATCAGAGAATTTGTTATCGTCAGATTTAGTTAAGTCTCTATGTTTTGGTATTAAGATCTGATCATGTTTTTGCATACTTAGTTGGGTTCTTCGAAGTCAACTTAACGAAGTCGAAACCTTCATGATTGGTGTGGATACCGAACCCGGTGGGGACTACGACTTTGGTTTTTTTGTCAAGAAGATATACTAGCTTTAGGAAAGTTGGTTGTTTTACACAGATGTACCAGAGTAATGCAATAAAAAACACCCAGTAAATTTGGAATCTCGCCATATTATTTTTACAGTGTATGATTGATTTACAGACCTCTAAAGAGACGTTCAACCACAACGTTAATACGTAAATTTACTATATATATCACTGATTTAAAATAATGAAAATTCAATATTAAAGTAAAAGTAAAACCTTCTCTTTGGCCAATTCCTTTTTCGAATAAACTTATCTACTGTGAACTCAAAATTCTTGTTGGTATTGCCTCCATATCGGTCAGTCTACACTCCGATTACAATACAGCCAAAAGTTGACATTCTTGACAGCTCTAAACCGAGAATTAAATGCCTTAGTTTTATTTACGCAAGTCCCGGGTTTACATTTTAAACAATATATTAAAATGTAAATCAATACGGCTGAACCGTAACAATTTTCTTTCCAATGCGTCATGCAATGAGTAATTACCTTCGAAAATGAAGCGTTTTAATTAAATAAATACTTGTAATTATTGTTCATATATTACATGTACAAGGTTGTTAACATCAAGCTCTATAATACCATCGGGAATTACATGGACAAAAATAGTTACAGAATAATAACAGGGTCTATGTGTATTACAAGTTTAAAGAAATAACAAACAAGACAATGACTAAAATATAAATCTGCATATTTTAATTGAATAAGGAAAAGAGACGCAATGGAGGGATGGGTAA